CTGTTTTCCATAGATTTCTGACCCTAGTAGAAACTTATCCTACATTCCTGTTAGTTAAGTGAATCAGATATGGAGGTTTTCAAAAAGCATTCTGCTAAGAAATGGAGGGGGAATAGGAAAGGAGGAGGAAAGAAAATGTTTAAATGAAGAAAGTCATAAGAAAGAACACTTGAAATTATGGAAATTAGTACTTACATGTAAGCTTCTTTTGGGTCTTTATTTTTGTTTTGTTTTGCTAGTTCTAGTTCTAAGTAAAGTTTATCTTCAGTGTATTTAATTCAAAGAGCTCAAGTTGCTTTCTTTGTCTGTGACTGCAGGTGGGACAAGTGACAACCATGGTTTCTCTGAGCCTATTGCACATATATGATCTTATTTCATTATGAGAACATGACAAAAATGGTACAAGCATGATCTTTTTACAGAACAGGAAACTGAGGTTCAGGAACATGAAATACCTTTTGCCAAAATCCTTAGCCAATCAGAGGCACAGATGAACAGCTGTTCTGACCAGACTCCTGCTCCTATTTCCACATTGCACCTTCAAAATCTTCCCATTTTTGTCCTTCCCTCTGTGATCAGTCCTTTGCCATCTCTCTTCCACTTACAGCTTCTCCAATAGTTGGAGAAAAGTCAGTCCTCATTGACTTAGGTATACCTAAGACTGCAGCTAAGCGGTTACACATAAAGACTCAAAGAATTCTTAGGTCCTAAGAGAGTGTGTACGTGTGAGTGTGTTTGTGTTTGTGTGTGTGTGACCATGGGAAAGTGCCTTGATATGCATGGGGTGAGATTTCCTCAACTGTAAAATGGGGTGAAAAATGGTGTCACCATCTGACAAGGTGAGAACTAAATATTTAAGGATATGGGTATAGTAGTTCCTGGCACAGATAAGCATTACATAAATATAAACTGCTATTGTTAGGTGAGTTGTCACTTGGAATGAATAAAAAATTAGGCCTTTAACACTCTTCCTAAAACATGACATATTAGTACTCATTGAATTACTCTGCTGCTGATGGCTCAGTTCTATATTTTGGGACAGTAAAGATAAACAGCAGGGCCCTCCCTGGTGGTGCAGCAGGTTAAAGCACAGCAGTAAAAAGCTAAAGACACTTTAGCATGAGTTTAAACCCCGCCTATTCTGACCTCTCTTGACCCGCCCGCTGCACCCCTCAGCAGTGTACTTCGT